AAAAAAAAAAAAAAAAAAAAAAAAAAAAAAAAAAAAAAAGGCATGCTCAAGGCAAAGAAAACCATGGAGTCTGCATTTTTATGTATATTTTATTATAAAGGAGAGGAAACCAAGTCCACATTTTTTTTTTTCAGACATGGATAAATAAGCAGTAAATATCATGTGTTGCTTTTTAATGTGTTCTGCTTTTTACAAGAGGATCTGCAAAAATGGAACTCCTAATTCAGAGATCTGCAAAAAAAGACTATCTTTTAAGAACACAAACCACCGTTTTGTACATGAAGGAAGACTGTTTCAGAAAACTGCTGGAAACTGAGACAAGTCAGCTCTGTGAAGAAACTGCTGAGTACAGAATAGTTCAATAGTTTATTCAGCAGAAAACAACAAATTAACCCCTAGGCAGGATTATTTCAAATATATATATAAATATATACAAATACATAAAAACAAAGATCTTTTCACTTAAAAACAAACAAACATCAAGTTGTAACAAAAACAGAGAACCTTGTGCTGCTTTGTGATCTCTATGAAAGGATGTTTTAAAAAGACATAAGGGTTTTTTTCTTTTTAATAAAAATAAACTGGTAAAGAAAAAAATCCACAGTTATTCTAATATCATATTTCTTTAAAATGGAATCAGATCCTTGCTATACTAAGAGCAATTAATGAATGAAACCAAACAACACACAGACAAGCAAAAACACTCACCACATTCAGATTTTGTGCGTGATCTTGGTCCCATTTTCATCAATGAGAATGTTACTTTTGATTTCAGTGGGAACAGGGTCAAGCTTTTGCTTTTTTCTGAAGCAGAAGCTGAGTGAGTGCAAGCTACTTTCCCAAAGAGACTTTGCTCATATGATTAAACCATGAGAAACTGCAAATGGAAAGAGTTATCCCTGTAACTTTATGGACCACCCAGCTATTTTTTGCTTGCTATTAAAAGCATTCTATCTTTTCTAACAACTGAATTATGCATCTTGCCTCACACATAACAGTTACTTGTTATGACAGTAGAAACCAGTAAGCACTCTTCTAGACTTCATTTAATATTTATATCCTTTTGAGTTTTTGCATTTTCTTGTATTCAGTAGGGTCAGGGCTGTGTCCACAAACTAAATGATCATTAAAGGAGATATAAACATGCTATGTACAGTTCATAAATCTTTATTTTCTATACAGTTGTATTGAATATTTTTATAGTTGTAGCCTAAGTGCTGTGTAGAACTAGCATGCATCTGGTATTCACAAAAATGAAACAATATAGTGAAGAAATGGATATTTAATAAAAAAGTACAATAATTAATGATAAATTGCACACATACAAAGGTACTGTAAAATGAATCCATCAACTTAAAATATGCAGTTCTACTATCTCTATATATCCTAACAGTTTGCTTTCTTGAAAAGGAAAACTGATGGATGTACTTTTGATGGAAATATTCCATGCAAAATCATATATTTTCTTTAGGATAACATTTCACATTCTTTAAACCTTCCATCATTTTTTTCTATATGACATTCAGACTGCCTTCAACGAAACAAGGGGAGGAAAAGAACCAAAACACAGCTACTTTTGTTATCACACTATAAATCCTAGTTCAGGGATTATGCCAATTATCTAATTTACCTATACAGAGCAACAACTGAAGAATTTCAGTTTATTAACCCTATCTTTCTTCATAAATTTCATTTTTTTTTTAACGAGAAATGTGTCTTTGAAGGATTTAATGAAAAATAAGATTAGCACAGATTATTTGATTCTGGTATTAAATAATCCATCCACTCATTTAAACACAGATGATTTAAGGAACACAGTGTCTCCAGTGATCACCTTCAGTATTTAAGATGAGCTTTAACACAAGTATTTCTGTAATCCTACTTTGTGGGTATTTGCCATTCCACTGTTGAAAAGCCTTCTCCCAGGTAGATTGTGGTTGATTGTGGCTTCAAATTCTGCTGCTCTTGCTGAGTAATCTGGTATATTTTTGCATCTTTTACACTGAAAGAAAAGACCTCCACTGATAAGCACTAGATTCAGTCAGAATAGGTAGTTCACCAAGTTCTCCAGATGTTCTCCTCCGGAAAATCATTGTTAGAGGAAAGTCACCTTCCTCTAAACCAAGCTTCCCCTTTGACCAAGTTGCAGGGGGACTAGTGGGAAGCTTTTGCAGGCTATGAAGTGATAATGAAGCAACTTTGCATCTGTTCGACTTGTTGCCTCCAAGGAGTCCTTCGCCTTTTACCTTCAGAATGTTACTGAAGTTCTGCAGAGGGCAGTTGCTTTGTGCTTTGTTCTTGTAGCCACTGCTGGATGCTTTTAAAAGTCTAAGGGCCGAATCATCATGGTTGTGGACCGCAAGGAGTAGCTGGGCCCTTTAAAGTAGTGCCACTTGATGCCATTGAGCTTCCCATGGTTCTGCCCGGCTGTGTAGAAGATCCCGTTCAGGTTCGAGGGGCCACAGGCGTCAAACCACCAACCTGGAGGAATTAAGAGCAATCAATTAGGTTTGTTTTCCTGTTTTCCCTTTTTTGCCCTTCTGTGCCATTCTATGGCTGGCTGTGCTGGAGAACAGGCAGATATATTTTCAGATTTGGAAAAAAGTCCTAACTCTTGCTGTTGTATACACAGTATGTGATGTGAAGCAAAGGAAAGGAACAATAAAGACAAATAAAGACAAATATACCACTGTGTATGTTTAGACTCTGCTTTAGAGTCCACCCAGCTCAAGTAAACCTATCTTTAAAAAGTTATCATTCATGCATTTATATAATTTCACTTGATTGCTTCTGTAAAGCATAAGCATGATTTTAAATTACTTGGTATTTAATAATGATTGTTCAATTGATCTGATTGCTTTTGCTCTCAGATTAGGTATTTTTAGTGAGCACAGGTTATGAATATGGTTCTGCTGAAGTAGTAATTATTTCTGTATTGAGGATACAGAATGGCATGCAAGGAAATAGTCTCAATTTTAAGTCTTCAACTAACATATGAACACGATTCAGCAAATGGAGTAAAGACATGGAGAAGACAAGGGCAACTCTAACAGCTAATTAGGATACCTATGTGCACAGCTAGATGGTTTAGATAGGTGTCTCTATATGTATGTGTTTATATAATGGTTTGGAAAGCTTCCTTCAAAGACCAGAGGATATATTAGTTGTGTGCACAGTTTAGCCCAAAACATTAGTATTCAGTCCTTAACCTTATTATCATTTTCAATAAGAAAAGCTATGTTGAACCTTGAACCTCCCAGGTCTTTAAATGTGCCAAACATCTCAGATCCATCTGAGATTTCTTCACTTGTCTGCCAAGCCTATGTGCAAGTTCCCACCTGTCACTTAGAGAACTGGCAAATGCCCACCCACGGTTTAAAAAGACTATATGTCTGTAGGCAAACTATTTACATGTCAAAAGGAAGCACAAAAATGCTAGCAAATTTACTATCATGGGCTATGAAAATTTAAATATTAATTTAAAAAATAAAACAAAATTTAAAAAAATAAAAAAAAAATAAAACAAAATTTAAAAAAATAAAAGAAAAAGCACATTAATTTTTTTACTGACTAGTACTGAAGGTAAGCTTAAAAGTTTGGTAGCTGTCTTTTCTAGTCCTTCACCTTGTGCATTTTTTTACAGCAAGAAGCAGCTACCTATTCGTCAATGCTTTGACTGCAGACACAGCCTCATTTATACTTCACTCTATTGGAAAGACAGGACAAAAAATTTCTTCCACAACTGTTTGCATGTCTAGTTCACTTCTCCTCCAGCTGCATTATAAAAGTATTCTGAGAAATGAGATGGCATAGATTAAGAAAAAATTTTTTTGAGGGCAAACAGCAATTGGTTTACACAATTGCTGGCATAACTGAAGGATCACTAAACTCAGAAGTTAAGATAAAGAGAAGTAAAACAGGACCTTTTCAACCTGAGTTTTCTGACAAAGAAAAMCCATGTAGAGCCGCCATACTCTCACCTTTTGTGAGCACTCTGTTACYATAGCACTGGAAATACACATTTTTCAAGTACTCACAGACATTACCAACAATGACAGAGTTTTTGCTATCACTCATATGACTGGATGAAAAAAAATCAGCCTTGCTATAAGCACAAGTATGGTTGCAAACTGGACATAAAAATGTCATCTCATTAATCTAGACTTCTTTAGTGAGGAGATATATATATATATATACACACATATTCTCATTTTAAACAATAAATAAAATGAAGCCAGTAGTGAAAAAAAAATGTGTAGTTCATCAGGTCTATTTTGGATAATTGCTTTAGGATCAATTAAATCAATAAATGCCCTTGACTACATCCTCAAGATCTCCAATAAWAGAAGGACACTTAAGAAGTTAACCATGATGTACATTCTATGTATGGCAGAGACTTTAGCTCTTTTTGGGTCACTTTTGAAGTATAAATATACGCTCAGGCCTCTTGAAGTCATGAAGCTAAAGGGAAAAAAGAGAAAAGGTTTGAGACGCTTTCAAAAAGGTGAATTTTAGATTGTCAGTAGAGTTGCCATTTTAAGGAAAACTCCAAATAACATGAAATTCAGCAACCTGGGGTTACAGAACATAAGGGCACAAAGATAAACTAGGTGACATGCTGAGCCCACTGAAGCGAGGGGGAGTGTTGTGGCATATCTTGAGGGGAATAAAATTTTACTGTGTAAGAGTAACCTTACAGGACAGCTACGTAGCCCAACAGAAAGTGCTCAGTTCAGATGGAGGAAGGCAAAATGGATCCCCAAACTGGAAAATACTAGTATTTTCCAGTGCCAAAAATACATGATCCTCTGTGGCAAGCAGTTCTATTTGTGAGCAAGATTTCTGTAGGTTTTTTTTTTTTCCCTTGTAAGAGATACAAGCTCTATGAACCTTTAGGGCAGGTCCCTTGAATCTTTCTGTGTAATATTGTTTTACTGAGCACTGTCTCATTGTTTTCCTAACTACAGGGAAATAAAGTTACAAAGATAGTGACTCTTTTTTTTTTTTTTTTTTTTTTTTTAATTAAATCACACTTTCTTTAAAAGAGTGATTTTATATTGCATTTCACAGTGTGGCATCATACTGAGATATCTTTTCAACCACCATCACACATAGCAATYCTATAGCAAGTGGCTACTGGACTCCATAGGCTTCAAGGGGCTGAAATGGAGAATTTTAGTTTTCACTGGGCTTCCCAGACTGATCTGTAGAAATGGAATGAAACTGTGTAGGTTTCTCTTATGGAGTGTGCACTGCGTGGATGAACCTTCCAATTTCGTCCAATGCAGTGGCCAGCTTTATATATAGCTATAATGAATCCATACTGTGAGGGTATTTTAAGCTTCTTGATCTGCCTTTGACAGTGATTCACAAACAGAACCAGTACTTATTCTGTCCTTTGCATTCAGACCAGTATAATTTATGGGTTTTGTCTTGTAAAGTAATTTCTTAGATTATGGATAATACTTAGTGGGTTTTTTTTTTTTCAGAAGTAACACTTCATAATGAAATCTTAAGGGAAGGCTTTATGCCAGACAAATTCTGGCAAAATCCTATTTTGATACAATTGACCTCTCTTTGATTACAATGCTATACCTAAGGGGGTAATAATCAAAGAAAGAGAAAGTTGTACAGTTGATGTTTTACTGTAACCAGAGTATAATCCTGTAGAAATTTAAGGCAAAGTTAAACAGAGAAAATCTAATCCTCATTTTTCAAAGCTGGAACAGAGATGCAGCTGAGTTCTGTTTATGACATTGAGAAGAAGACATGGCAAGCTGCACTAGTTACCATTTCATCTTAAAGGAACAGCAATAGATGTGTAATGGGGCTTTTTGGAGAGAATGTTTTCAGCACTGCCCTATAAAATCTATGTTAAAAGCAAAATAAATAAAAAGAAATTGCAACAATCTATTTTTAAAAATCTTTTGTGAGGAACTACTCAAATCTCTCTTCAAAGATTGTTCTTTAAAAACATATTTTATTGAGCATCTTTTAATATACTCTCTATATATCTTGTTAGCAAGAATGGCTTATTTTTTAAAGATGTTTTCTACTATTACATCATAATGTTGGATTTACTTTTCCTTTTCCTTATTTTTTTTATGTGATGTTTTTTCTCTGTCCTCTCTTCAATCTCCTAAAAGCTGCTCATTTCTCCAAAGGGTCTCAGATTGTCACAAGACTGCCTGATGTACTCTCTACAGCAAAGTCAAATGGATGCAATGGAAGACTTTCTCCACAAACAGTATTTTCAAGACTCCTTTTATGTTTGGGGAGCAGTGGCTTTCTGAGTAGTTGTGAGAAGATGTGGAAATATAGGACCGAGGTCCGAGACAATCTGACCAGCAAAAGGGCTCCCAATAGCTAGAACTTGCTTTATTCCCTGAAGCTCATGGGATTTTCTCCTCTGGAATAATCCTTTTTTTTTTTTTTTTTTTTTTTTTTAAACTGCAAAGTAATGGCTTCCCTACATGAGCATCAAATTCTTTCGAAAAAAGAACAGCCTCTTTCAGCCTGGATCACAAATTTGGCAATGATTTTAGTGGGATCTTTGAATCATGAAGAGCAGACATTAAGAGAAATAACAGCAGAAGCAAGTTTCAAAGGGAACTAGTGAGGCAATAAAGAGGATACTTTCATGGGAGGGCTAAGGGCTTTATTCATAAACACAGACCTTTAAGTTCTGTGATCATTTAGTTGCTCATTTCAACTGAGGAGAGCCCTGAGATCTTTTGAGGTTAGCCCACCTCTAATAATTTGTTTGTATACTGCAAGCAGTGCTACTATTTCTGTTTGCAATAAAAATCCTTTGGTCATAAAACATACTGTCCAAACAAAAAATAATCTAGATAATGCAATGCTAAGTTGTTTGAAAGTTTCAGTTATACAAATAAACATGAATCCTCACTGTAGACAGCTGGTCTTCTGAAGCCATGAAAACACACTCAAACTTTGTGGACTGTTATGATGTGTTTTACTCTTTAGTTACCATTGCTATTACCTCTGAAAAGCTATTAAATTTGATGTCAGTTGTTTTCATTAAGTAAATGCATTTTGAATACTTCAGTTAGCTTCAGCCATGTATGATGATTTCTAAGAAAGACACAGAACCTCTGTCTTTCACTGAATATGAACATGTAGTGAGATCACTTCTATAGTCTTGCAAAAAAAAAGGCCACAACAAATAAGTAACGATATTATAAAAAAAATCATTTATGATAGTCAGAAGTATATATTTGTATACGATAAATATTGTCAAAAATGACGTCACAGAAAAGGCACTTGCATGCCAGCGCTAACAATCTTCCATTTTTTGTATGTTATATAAATTCAGCTCTAGTATATATTCAAGTATTTAAATGCTGAGCTTCGTTTCAAATTATGAGTAACTTTTTATTGTTAGTAACCCGGTGCTCATCACTGTCAGTCTAGAGCGCATTGAGGGTTTGCCTCACCTGGATCTGATGAGAGGCTCTTAT